GTGTGTGTGTGTGTGTGTGTGTGTGTGTGTGTGTTCTGACAGCCACCAGGGCCAAGATGAGCATGATGAACTCCATGTCTCGTATGCGGGGCCAAGAGAAAGGGCCGGGCTACACGCAGACCGAGACCATGCTGGGGGATTCCATGCAGAGGTTTGGCCGGGAGCTCGGAGAGGAGTCCACCTTTGGTGAGTTTCTGCCCCTGAGAGCTTCAAACAGAAACTTCTTACTAGCTGTACGAGAACAAAATGACACCATTTTATTCCATCAAAGACACAGTCTTTAAATATCTATGAGGCGTTCAGCTGCAGAAAATGTGTTTTGAGTCATCTCTGCCTTCTTTTTTTTTTCAGGTCTTGCTCTGATTGATGTTGGAGAAGCCATGCGTGAGCTGGGTGAGGTAAAGGATGCTCTGGACATGGAGGTGAAGCAGAACTTCATCGACCCGATGCAGAACCTCCACGAAAAGGACATCAAGGAGATTCAGGTACAAGCGCTGCACTCTGTTGCACAACCGAAGGTCACAAGCAGAGTAATAATTGTTAGGAACGTTAACTGTAAGGTTGAAATTTTGCAGCATCACCTGAAGAAACTGGAGGGCCGCCGCCTGGACTTCGATTATAAGAAGAAGCGTCAGGGCAAAGTGACGGACGACGAGATCAAACAGGCTCTGGAGAAGTTTGACGACTCGAAAGAGATCGCTGAGCAGAGCATGTTCAACCTGCTGGAGAGTGATGTAAGCGTTACACAAAACTGTGCAAAGCTTTCAGTCTTTTAAGCCCCCATCTCCAGCAGGGTACACCCTGGTCAGGTCACATTTCCATCACAGGGAGACAATTTAGAGTATCAGTTAACCCAACACTCTTGCCCCCTATTGGTGCGCCATTGGTATTGCAGCATTGTCTGTTTAGTCATAAATATTTAAATATTCAGCTGATTGGTTTAATTTACCTCTGAAGTTTGATTCATTTTTATTTCATTTGTAATTTGTGTAATATATTATGTGAACAGATTGAACAGGTGAGCCAGCTGGCTGCGTTGGTCCATGCTCAGGTGCAGTATCATTCCCGGGCTGCTGAAATCCTCACACAGCTCTCCAGTAAGATTGATGAACGGTGAGTACCGTTCTGCTTTATTCTGAATGTAGTTTTAAAAAACAATAAGTACAGACGTCAATATTTGTTCTGAATATTTAGTTTTAAAGTTTATCCACGATGCCAAAGCAGCAGAACTTTGATTCCTCATCTTCCTGTTCGCAGGATAAGGGACACCTCTGGCAAACCAAAGAAGGAGTTTATTGCAAAACCACGAACGTCTCTGGAGTTATGCATCAGTGAGAACCACAACGGAGGCATCCACGGAGCTCGTTCTCCAGGTGAGATCAGAGACTTCACGCTTTCAAAATGCGTCCCCAAACTAGTCCAGGGTCCTGTGGGTGCACTAAAGCTCACAATATGGTTTATCATCAGCCAGCTGGACGACGCACAGGGTTTATTTTCACACACACCTTTCATAGCCCTGAAATACAATATCGAGCTCCTGGGAAACCCCCTTCCACTGCGGTATACGTCACTGCATGGGGTTTCTTCCTGCTGGAGTCTACACATTTTTACAAAAATAAACAATCCGAGACCTGATGTTATTTGTCAGCAATTCTGTCCCAGCTAAAGCTCTACAATTTTTATCTGACAGATTCCTCCGTGCACAATGTCTGTTATATCTCCATCCAGGAGTTTTTGGCCATGTTTGCTTTCAGGTAGCCTACAGCAGTGGGCTTCTGGAAGCGAGTAGTTTATTTATTTTATTTTTTTAAGTGAGTGTTTGAAGCAAAATGCAGCGTCCGAGCGCTTTCAGCAGAACCACTGCCATGAACCTCTAACCAATCACACAATAAGTTCTTATAAGTTCGACCAGCGGGTTGCGACAAGAAGGGGCCAAAATGTCGACAGTGCGAACAAAATGATGCAATTTTCATCATGAAGCTGCAACAATCCAATCCGATATCGACAGTTCAGCTGGAGCATACTGGGCACTTGAGTCACTTCTTATCAGGGAAGTCCTCTCATGACAAGACAAACCATATGTTACATTATTTCTCTGTGAAAGATAATTTGTGGACTATGATCTGTTAATTTAGCTTTTTACTGTTATGAAGAAATCAGTACAGAAAAAGAAGGAGCAAACAGTTCCCTCATATGGAAAAGAATACACTAGGCATGTTTTTATTCACTTGTTAGCAACATCAAGTTAAAGCTGCAATTAAACATAAAGGCTTTTAATTTCACAGCCATGCAGGCTCTGCTGTTAGCATCATTTACTCTCCCTTATATTCCACCTGATACTGGATAACTTCACACCGAAATCAAAACAAACGTGGAGGCAGTGAGTCAGATTAATATGTTGTTAATGTTAGAGGGATAGATTGGGTTTTTTTGGAGGTTGGTTTCTGTGGAGGCGGTCGATATCGGCAGCAGAAAGCCGTCTGAACAGCCTCAGTTTGGAGAAACAGAGGTTTGTTTGAACCAGGGCATTGAGCTGACAGCTTTTTCCAAGTGGGGCCAAGACCAAAGTGAATTTCTGTCATCTAAAAACAAATCCAATCTTGAAGATCTAAAGGCGCAGTGGAGCAGTGGTTAGAGGCTTTCCTGCTTCAACACACTTGTTGTAATCCAGTGGGTCATTACCAGGTTTCTGCTGAGGAGGCCAGTTGTAGAGCTGGGCGGTATGACCCAAATTTTATATCACAGTATTTTCAACAATTACACCGGTTTCACGGTATTTGACGGTATTTTTTTTTCCTCACAGCTCAGCTGATAATAAAATGTACAAACTTTGCTTATTGACTTTTTTCTTTTACTTTACCTCTGTATCACTGTTTCCTTCCTCTTGTACATCTTTTCTTCTTCGCCTGGTTGTAGACAGTAATCATGCATTTAGGTCCGATCGTGAAGGGTTGAGAAAAAAATCATTATCTAGTCTATCGTTACGTGTTAATAAAATACGTTAAGAAAATAAGGACGACTCACCTTGCACACCAGTCAACTCCGCTACACTACAAAACTACTTCCCCCTGGGCTTTTCACAATAGAAGCACACTGGAGTCTCCATGCAATAACGTCTCCATTATAACGTAGCGCGTTAAATCTAACCGTGCACGTCACTGAAGAGTTGTTTACTATTCAACGTTGGTGAAAATGGGATGTTTTTTTTTTACGTCAGACCATATAAGCGGCTGAAACACACCACCCGCCGCCAGTTGTTCCAACAATAACGTTAGCATGCTTTGCGCTTAGCGGTGCTACAACGAAATGTGTCCCCAGGGAAACAGCTCACTGGCGGCCGCGAAGAAACGTTCCGCACGTGTTCAGGCTATTTACACCGGTATTCAGAAAAGTCATATCATAACAAAAATAAAAACTGGTTTTCGGTACAAAACGGTATACTGCCCAGCACTAGCCAGCTGTTTGTTGTAATCAGGTGTTTTGGAGCAGGAAAATCTAAAAAGTTACCTTTGTATTACTTTTCAAATATCTGTAGTCAGCAATATGTTACAGAAATCACTTCATGATGAAATGTGGTAAACATGACATGGAAGACAAACTGTCTGATGAAAAAGTAATGAAGTGTAAACTGATACACACTTCCTGTTCTGCATTACATCTAATTGTGATCGACGCATTCTTTAGTGTAAAAAAAATTATTTTGATGCGGAAGTCTAGAACTAAATATCTGCATCTCTTCGCTCTTCTCCTCCCCACTCTGATCTTTCTTCTTGTAGGTGCCAGGTCTCCAGGTGAGCCCGGTCAAACTTGTTTCTACATCTGTGTGTTAATCCGTTCACGTTAACATCTTTTTTTTTTCATTTTACACTGAAACGCTTCCTCCTCTTCCATCCCCGACCACTTCCCCTCCCTCCCTCGTACTGTTTTCCACCTTTGCAGCAAGGTCTCCAGGTGAGACAAGAGTGATGTCCTTTTTTTTAC